TATATATATATATATATTGTATATGTTGCAAATGTGTAACAATGTGTGCATTACCGTGTGCAACATATAATATATATAAATACACATTTTTATCTCATGCTCATACATCATGTTTATATATATGTATATGTTCAGACATGTGTGCATTTTTAACTTATTAAAGTCCTGTTACATTGTAACAAGAATGCGACTGCCTAATTCACACGATGCAAGGTAAGCTTTTGTTTTAAAATTGTCTGACGTGACAGGTAGGCTCATCCGATCAGATCAGTACATATCAGTACAGTAACCTCTAGAGAGCAAGTCAAACGGTAACCCGCTTTCACTGATCTGGCTGCAGCTAAAGGGAGATCTGGTTGGCTGGATTTGGGTTACTGTACTTGTTCGTATGGAGTGCTGTGCACCAGTGTGTGTGATTGTACAGTACCGGGTAATCTGATTGAGTAGCACGAGGGGATCTGATTGTGTAGGATCAGATGATCTGATTGTGTTTGGCTAGGTGTTCTGATTGTGTAGGACTAGGCAATCTGATGGTGTAGGACCAGGCAATCTGATGGTGTAGGACCAGGCAATCTGATAGTGTAGGACCAGGCAATCTGATAGTGTAGGACCAGGCAATCTGATGGTGTAGGACCAGGCAATCTGATGCTGTAGGACCAGGCAATCTTATGGTGTAGGACCAGGCAATCTTATGGTGTAGGAACAGGCAATCTGATGGTGTAGGACCAGGCAATCTGATGGTGTAGGACCATTCAATCTGATAGTGTAGGACCAGGCAATCTGATGGTGTAGGACCAGGCAATCTGATGCTGTAGGACCAGGCAATCTGATGGTGTAGGACCAGGCAATCTGATGGTGTAGGACCATTCAATCTGATTGTGTAAGACCGGGTGATCTGATTGTGTAGGACCGAACGATCTGATTGTGTAGGACCAGGCGTTCTGATTGTGTGGGACCGAACAATCTGATTGTGTGGGACCAGGAGTTCTGATTGTGTAGGACCGGGCGTTCTGATTGTGTAGGACCGAACGATCTGATTGTGTAGGACCAGGCAATCTGATTGTGTAGGACCGAACGATCTGATTGTGTAGGATCGGGCGTTCTGATTGTGTAGGACCGAACGATCTGATTGTGTAGGACCGAACAATCTGATTGTGTGGGACCAGGCGTTCTGATTGTGTAGGACCGGGCGTTCTGATTGTGTAGGACCAGGCAATCTGATTGTGTAGGACCAGGCAATCTGATTGTGTAGGACCAGGCAATCTGATTGTGTAGGACCAGGCAATCTGATTGTGTAGGACCAGGCGATATGTTTGTGTAGCAGTGGACGACAGATCACGCCTGGCTATCCACGAATCCCCATCACAGTACAGCAGGTGGGATAGTGCGGTCCTTCCTAAACTATTGGTAAATTGTTAAAGTTATTGGCGCTCCCAGAAGTCTGAGAATACCGAGCTGGCCAATTAGTGAATGAGAAAATTACAAAAAATATATATAAAACTTTTACTATCAGACCTGCAGTCTGGCTGCCTCTCCTTAGTGCCGGCCATGCTGTTTCAGCACTGGACAGTCTCATGTATCTCCTTTCCATGTTGTGCTGTCAGGTTCTTGATGTCCACAGAACTTGTTTTTTCTTTTTGTACTTTGAAGGATAAAATGATTCCTGGTTAATGCCGCATCCAAACACATGACTTGTTTCTGCTTCATAAACCCCCTAATAAGATTACATTCACACTCGTCCGCACAGCTGTGTAGGCACAGCTCCCAAAAAGTTTGCTGCCTTCATATATTTTATATAT